AAAAAAAAAAAAAAAAAAAAGAACGAAGAGATTTATTTAGAACTGCAAATGACTCATTGAACCTGCATATCCTCCAGGACAGAGAACTCGGCACAGAACTCTAAATGTGGTTTCCATGAGAACAGAGGCGCATCATATTTTCAATGTCTTCTCTTAGGAAGTGATCTACATTAAAAATAYGGAAACTAGCATTAGGGAACTAAACCAAAGTTAAACTTAGGTTTACACTCTGGTGGAACACTTTTTCTCTGTGATAAGATAAAGCCATTCCATAGTAGCAGCAAGACAACAGTATCCATGTTATTCCTAATTGTGCTGCATTCACCACATTCTGGAACAGTTTTATGCTTCCGAGTAATGGCAATATTGTAAAAAAAAAAAACCTATTCAATTATTTAAACTCTATCAAACAAGTCCCAGAAWTAATTTTGGTTCTACAATTCACATCCAGCAAGAAAAAGAACACCAACAGCTGAATTATACTACACTGATCCACGAGTTCCAAAGACCAAMWCTGAACCAGTTCTTGCTATGAACCRCAAAGCAATCCCAAACASCAGTGAAATAGAAGAATCCCTAAGGAGAAAATAGTATTTTTATTATTCAGAAGTACTTGATACAAAGAGGGGAATGACATTTCTAGTTCATGCCCATTCTCCTTCCTTTTAGGAATCAGATGAAAGTTCAAAGAACACCTGACTGTGGGTTTTGCAAGCTTGGTGTCACCTGGGATATGTGGGGGTTTTGGTTTGTAACTAGAAGAGACTMACTACACTTGCCTGTTCCAGCCTGTTAATCTCAGGGTTCTGACTCAAATTGCATAAGCTAATATCCAACACATTTCTGTAAGAATCAAGGAAGAATTTTTCCACRGTAGTGAGGGATCCATTTTATGGTAGTGAGAACAGCGCCAGAAATCTGAATAACTTGGTAAAACTCACAATTTCTGGTAGGTCAGACATCCAGATGAAAAATGGCACRTAGAAATAGTTTTTATTGTAGATCTGAATGCTCTGGGCTAGCCTTCAGAGTACAAAGAGATAACAGTAGGCCAACGGCCTTCAAAAAGACAAAACAAAACAAAACATACCACCCCCCTGCTCCCAAGGGAAAAAAAACCAAACCAGCAGTGGGAAATATACTGAGAAATATACTGTAAGCTTTGCAAGGTGCAGGCAAATACACTGGGTCCATGAACTGCAACACTTCCCCAACTGAACCAGGAGGTATTTTAATAAGCTCTAAATAAAAGTGAGGGAAAACAAATCCCATGTTCAGTGGACAATTAAAGGATGAGGAAAGTCCCCAGTCCCCATGTGAGTCTGTTTGGGATATTTTTTTGTTTTTATTTACAAACAGGCATTTAAAACCTGCTATTTCAAAACCTAATTTCATGCTGTCCTCTTTAGCAGCACGTCCAAGGCAAATGTCTTCTGATCAGAAGAAAATACCTTTGAAAAACATTTTCTAACTTGATGACAGAGCACAGCTGCCTCAGTAACGCATTTTGAAGCACACAGAAAGATGAACACGCATTGTCTGCTGCTGCTGTTGAAAGGCAGCAAACAAATAACAGCTTGCTAAAAATACCCCTATTGCTAATAGAAAAGTACTGGTGATCTTTTTGTYCAAAACAGTTGTATTAAGAATTAAATGAGTAGATTAACAGCAGAAATATAACAGTACTATCTATGGAAACTGTAAATGCTCATTTACCCTTACCTTCTTCTGCCTCATCCTCCTGGGATGACATAGGCCCTCCTCCACTTGTTGGGGTGAGTAATTCTTCCTCTCTGGCAGATTCTCTTTGCAGACTGACAACTTCATAAATTGCATCTCCAGCACTTGTGTGGCTTTTTCCTTCAGACTAAACCAAAATATGGGTATGTATTAGGTTTCCACTGTAGAAAAATAAGGCTATCAAAGGCTAAACCATTGTCTGGACACAACTCCTCAGATTTCTTTGCCTTGGCACAAGTAGATGGCACTGACAGTTCTGGTTTCTCTCAGTTTTACAGGTAGAAAATACACATAAAACTGCATTATTTCCAAAGCTGCCTCTTAACAACCATTTTCAGTAGTGTCCAGAACAATGATAAAAAAACTTTCCAATTTAAACAGCTATAATGARATGAAGTTAAAGAAAAATCTCAGCTAAAGAAAAGAGTAGAGAACAATGAGGGAAAATAGTGGAGTMACTGAAAGAGGAACTGAATGCCTGAGGGGGAATAAAAAAACAATGGTAATAGTTCTTTTGTAGGCAAAGACAGGACTAAAGAAGAAACAAAACCTCATGCTTTTGAAAATGTGTAAATTGTGAAAAGCTCTTTTTAGTGCTTTTCTCATTAAAAAAACAGGAAAATTTATCTTCCATGAAGTATAATTTGAAATACACTCCTTCAAATGGGGAAATGTAATGGAATCCCATGGCAGGGCTGTTGGAACTACATAATCTTGAAGGTCCCTGTGAAGCCAAATCCTTCAATATTTTATGGCTTTTATATGAAAAAGAAGTCAATTAACTATAGTTTAAGCAGTTGCAAAGTTGCAAGTTTTAAARTAAAAGGAGTATTAGTTTTTCCTCTGAGTTACAGTTATGAACAGTTATTTTTCAGTGACTTGCAGTGATTACTATATTTTTAGAGAATTGTATATAACTGCAAACTAATGATGATATTAAATGAAACACCCCAAAATGCTGTASTATTTTGTACTTTGTGCATCTTGCCTAATGAATTAAAATAAAGTAATTTTTAGAACATACTAAAAACATCAAATTAGCCATGAAAAAGAACACAATTTCAGTTAGRGTACCCTCAATTTTTTTGAAAAACAAAGTTATTATGAAGTTGAAAGACTCCACAATATCCACATTGGAGATATACAAAAACTACTGACCAACATTTGCAATTTCAACCAGCTGGTGAAATTATGCAGATGAGCGGCTTAAACAGGTATTGTTTGGACTGACACAGAATGAATAATTTTATACTGAAAAAACTTTTCTCATTTATTTTAGATTAATCATTCAGACCTGCTTTCCTTAAAGTAAAGGCTCCATTTATCAGCCAGTTTTGCTGACTGATTTTCTCAATAAGTCAGTATAATGAATTTTGGAGTGTAGGCATATACACCCTRCATTTTGTAACATTTAGCAGAATAATATTAGAGCCATTATCCCTGTTTTATTCTCACATAACACCATTATTTATTGAGTAATTACAAAGTACTTGGTTAAATTAATCAAATATYGGTGCCGCTAATATCATTAACCATAGCTACCTATAGCTTTTATTTTTGAGAGAGTAAGGCATGAAGTAATGTGGGTTTTGCTGTATGTTAAAACAATTACAAGTCTTCAGCTTCTTGTATATGTTCTGGTTAATTGCAAGACTCGTCTGTATAAAATGTAAAAGACTGGATTATTGGTTTTCTCTGAAGCATGAACCCACCATTACAAGAACTATGTTTTAACAGTGCAAATGTGCGTGAGCAATACAGTGAGATAGCTAGAAAGAACAATCCTAAATTACGTATTAACCTGTGYTTTTCATACCTGATTGCACCTTASCCACCTCAGTTCAGACTATTAAATCTGTCTGAATCCTTTCTCAGAAGGGTTCTGATTTTTTCTATAATCTGCTTAATGCTCAAGTGCTTTTCCAAGAAGTTCACAAATGGTTGATCGCAATGCCATCTGCGGAGTTATTTCCCAAGGAGTAACAGTGCCTTGAGGTACAGGATGTTTCAAAGGTATTGGCAGGAATAACTACTGCAATRCAAACTGTCCAACTGAGAACTGATGAAATAAAGACTTGATACAAGTCTCCCAAAGAGATCCTGGCAACCACAATCAAGACCTCATCTTGTAGAAAGATTACTAGGACTAAAAATATCCCTTTCGTAAAGATCTGCAGAACAGACTCTGAATTTCGCAGCAGGAAGAAATGAATGTGTTTCTTCAAGGAAGAGAGATGTGTATGTTTGACACGTTATAAGGGGTGAGAAAAAGAAAGCATTCATATTACTTAATTAAAAAGGGTACAGCTGTAAGTGATTAAAAAGGCAAACTGAACTGATTAGAGATAAGCATCAAACAGCTGAGAGCATAATATCATCAAATGCATTTTCTTTAATGTCAAAATGCAGATATCCTTATTTGCATGTAACAGTAGGGTTTCTYYGATTTTCTTAAATTCTAAGTTGCTWTGCTAATCTCTAGAAGAAATACAGAAACAACATTGCATGAGATTTTTTTACTCCTTAAGTGTTAAACACAGCAGCACATTTCCCAGGTAATATCAACAGTTTGGTATTTTCAGACCTATTACTGTGCCCCATAGAAAGATGATGACCCAAATACTCCCATTAGGCTCAGTAAAATAAAATCACTGCTCTTTGGCTCCTTTAGTCAAAGATGATGCACAACTTTTCCGATGCACACAGTACAACTGGCCTCTGCTCTTCACTTTTTGAGCTAACACCAAAACAYAAGTCTTTGYAGAAAGCAGGTCAASAGTGGCTGCAGGACAAKGCAGCTGCACRTCATTCTACACCGACCCTGGACAGCCATATCTCGTGTATATACCTCAGCCAATGCCAAAAAGAGAAGGGTCTTGAGCTACTATTGTTAACAACCTCACTGTCTTAAATCTCTGCATTAGGTGCCTTTGCCTTTAATGGCTTATATTCTTACAGCCACTTCCTTCTTATTGTGAATGTCACTAGCCCTTTGATTTTAAAATGAACAATTGAAAAGTCATTTCCTAGTTCTACCAGTCAAATGGACTTGCTTTAGATGTCCTGCTTTAGAAGTCAGATTGTAGAGAATCAAGGAGAATTCAATAGGAAGGTACAAAACTGTTTAAGCCCACAAAGCCCAATGACTTACAACTCATCACAGTTCAGTTTACAAAGTGTGCTGTGTTTGGCTGGGATAGAGCTACTTTTCTTTACAATCACTAGTATGAAGCWGGGCTTTGGCTTTCTACTGGAAAYAGTGTTGATAACACAGGTGTGTTTYAGCCTCTGCTGAGCAGTTACTTACACACAGTCAGGACTTTTGCTGCCCCTCATCCCACCTCACCAGCAAAAGGGCTYGAGGKGCACAGAAARCTGSGAGGGGACACAGCCAAGACAGCTGACCACAACTGACCCAAGAGATGTTCTGGACCATRTGGCACCATGCTTGGCATGTAAAGCACGGGGAAAAAAGGAAGAAGGGGAGATGTTTGGAAGGATGGCCTCTGTCTTCCCAAGYCACTGATTTCCAGGSTATGGCWGAGCACCTGCYAGCYCATGGGAAGTGGTGAATGAATTCCCTAGTTTGTTTTGCTKGAGCACACAGCTTTTGCTTTCCCTACTGAACTGTCTTCATCTCAACTCAGAAGTTTTCTCACTTCTACACKACTGATTCTCTCCTCCATCCCACTGTGGGTGGAGGAGTGAGCAAGWGGCKGTGTGGGCCTTACTTGCCAGCTGGGGTTAARCCAYGACACAAAGGCACAGAACCTATATACATGCTATTTAATCCTTAGGTACTAGAGCAGCCCTGAAATAAATAGTTAAAAAACGCAAACTGCTGAGGAGCAGGTGCCATACTGATTTTTATAAAGGCCAAATTAGGACAGATGAGACAAAATGTTCTAAAAATAAAAAAAAAAGGCATTACCAGTTTTAGCTTCATATAAAAAGTTTCTGTGAAGGTTTTCCTGCTGAAGTACCAGAAGCGTTCATTGGCAGGATACACACGCACAACAGTCTCAAGCAAAAACCGAACTGGCTCTACTACTTCAGTAACAACCATGTCCACAGCCACAGTCATGAATACACGCTTATCTGAAACACAAAGATGACAAAAATTAGTCAAAGTTTAAATTTGTAAACTGCTGTTCAAGTCGAAAACCCTTTCAATTTGAAATTAATSATTCTATTGCACTTGTTTTAATTGCCTGAGTTCTACACCCTACATGCCTGTTGCACAGAATGAGAGTGTGCATTAACCAGTGTACCAAGGCACTTYAAATTAAATTGACAACTTTAAAAACTAAGACATTGTGTCCTTGTTTTAAAGACAGGGGCAAGACATCATGCAAAGAAAACACCATTAAGATAAACAATTCCCTCTAACAAAAGGAGCAGGCATAGAATAAGTCACACGGTGAAATGTTCAGAGCTCTGTTACATGCTACTAGAAGCAATGTGGTTTGAAAATCCACCAGCAGGAAGGGTGACATTGGCTGTAGGTTTGGATATGCCTTTAAGCAACTGATGTGAGCTCTGCTTTGGGACAGAAAACAAACTCCAGATTTACATTCAAAGTTCTTAAATCCCATTGGAGAATAAAAGTTCCAGCAATAAGAACTATACAAACTATGCTATAAATCAGCACTTGAATGCATCATTGCCAGCTGCCCCAAGATGTAGGGGATGAAATGCAATTCACAACTAAAAGGAGGAGAACYCCAATGCCTGCCAATACTGTTTTGCTGAGTACAGCAGGCAGAAAACAACTTGCAAATGCTTAGAACCAAAAAGTCCTGATAACCAGAGAAAGGCACATCAGCCCCAAACACGAATTTAACATCTCCAAATCAGCAACACARTGTTCTATGAAAAATTATTCACAACTCTGTGTTGTACCTGTTTATACAGAAAAATTCCTAGCAATGAACTCTTGGAACGTAACAGTTCATGTCCTTAGACACGCACTGTGATTGCCAAGAGAAAGTACATACACCAAACCCATGTTGGGTAAAACAAATACACAAATTAGACTCCACTACCTTTAGGAGTTTCCTCATTAAGTACTAGAAACATGGGTGCATTAGGATTCCACATTCCAGTAATGACATAAGCTTTCCCATCAGAACTTTTTCCCATAGATTCCTAAAAAGAAACATAGAAGATTCTATTACAATTGTGGTTTGAGATCAAAGAGATGGACCATTGGGRTGAGAAATAGTTCTAGGAATGTTACAGTAAAGAAAATGAATTAATGGAATGAACTATTACTAGTATGAGGCAAGTAAATGCTTYCTGAACTTTTCTGAAACAGTACCTACAGATCTAACAAGCCTGTTCAGAAGCCTCTTTCATAGATGAAAGGAGACTGATGTTCCCTCTCTGCAATCCAGTTTGTGGTAGAGAAATAAAAGTAACTCAGTATTCCAGATTTAAATATGGAGAAAGGAYGTTGAAAGTCAATCACAAATGTCTACTTCTATACTACAGTCAAGAAACAAACTAACAATTCATTACATCCAGCAGTTAAATATACTTGGAGTGTAAATGTAAATATAATTCAAGGTGGAGTAAAGACCAGAATTCAAAARTAATAAAAAGGTGTTATATAGATTTATAGAAACAACAACACTCCAAAATTCAATATAATTTATTCAGTTTCATAAACAAATAATAAAAAGGGAAAATCTGAGCAGATTTCAGGAAATAAAACCAGGAAAAATGACCTAGTAGATGCAATCAGGCAAATAAATGGGTCTGACAAGAGAAGTAAATACTGATAGCTAGAATCAGCAGCATGAGTACAGCAGTGAACTGGACAAAACTGGGACAACTGTAGAGACACAAAAGGTCTGATGGGTTTAACTCTAGCACGTCATAACTTGAAAATGGCTGTATTATCCACAGAGAGAAAGTAAATTGGTATTATCACAGAAAGGATGACATTGTTTTGCAGTCCCCTCAGAAACAATTTTTACAATATTGTAAAAAAAAGTGAATTCTTTAAACTCTGGACAAGAATTTAAAATCAAATTAAGGCAATAAAGGCAAAGTTTTCAGCTCCTTGGAAAAACAGRAACACTTCCTGGCACCCAAATATAAAGCCATATTTGCTCTAAATTTTTAGCGAACATGCTTGACACAATACAGAAAACTCAGTTATCTGTTACAATCTTATCTCGGCTTCACTAATTGAAAACAAAACCCAGATACCACAGGTTTTGACATTAATTTAAACGTTTTGTCCATCTTATTGTTGTAGACATCAAATCCCAGGATTTAAGAAACAAAAAAAACAACCCAAACAAAGCAAAAGATATTAGAAGCTTGTTTTGCTGGGATTTGTTATTTTTTTCAAATCACCTTATCTTATTTAACAGGTTATGAGAGCTAAGTGTTACCATGTCTAGTAAATGCATGTCACAGTTCTTCACATTTCKTCCAGGGCTTAGCAACATCCCAAAGCACCTGCAAAGTTTATTTAAAACAAAATAAAAGGAAAGAAAAGACATACATTAGTTTTTCAAAATGCATAAGTCTTTGCTTAAACACAACTGACAGCCACCTACTGCTTCTAATTTTAAGAGTATCYTTCAGGCAAGTTTTTTGTTATTGTTATGGCAACACTCAGTAAACAACACAACACATGYCACAGAAAAGACAATGGAATTATTTTCCAGAATGAAGATGGCAGAAATTAGCATCTGACCTGTGAAAACTCAATTATTCCTAATTTATAATACTGAGTTAAAAGATACCAACAATTCCTCTACATCAGTGATGGAGAGTGGTATGAAGAAATTCTCTCTCTCCAGTTAACTTTAAAAATTGTTCCCATGCAATCATAGGAAAAAATACAAATTTATTCATTCTATGATTTATAATAGCACTGCATGCAAAAAATCACATAACATCATAAGCCCTTAAAAAAAACCCACACAAACAAGAGTTGGCTCAATTTTGAGACTTCATTCCTCATTTTTTTAAATCTGAATTTGTGTGCTATACAAATTCCAGAATTCCAGTCCAATCATTTTACAAGAAAATGCTCTTGATATTTTTAAGAGCAAAAAAAACCAAAACTTTGAAGACTTCTTCAAACATTTAGATTTTCAAACTTCCTGACTAATGAAGGCACAAATTCAGGTCTGAAGTTTCTGCAAATCATCTATATCTTTCTCTCCTTTGAACATTATGAAAAAAATTTATGTGCACTCCATTATGAATAAAAACACCAAAGAGAATTATGTATTTGGAACGAACAGCAAGCTGTCTTGCACAGATTTTATAAAACCTTAGATCTCAAATGAAAAAAAGAAAAAAAAAACCCCTGAAAGTAATTGCAATTTGAAATATTATGGAAAATTGTGGTTGTAATTCAGAGGGTTTTGTTTCAAGATTTTTCTTCTGTTTGGTTCTCTGATAATCAAAGCACTTTTTCTCACTGACTCTCAGAACTATTATGCTGGATATAATATTGATTGGATATATGAACACCAGCAACTAAAATTTTAACAACACTAACTGTAAAAGTCTCAAGATATACAATTACTATGCCACCTAGCTTTCCCTATTACATTAGAGTATATGGTTTGCATTTTCCACCTCATTACACTTAACAGTAACTTACATCCACAATTGTATTTTCCATTGTCCATAATCTTCCAATACTAGAATCATAAAAACCTAAGTGGTAAATAAACCAGTGATAATAGTTTTGATTTATCTATATCCATAATGCAGTACCATGTAAATTATCCAAGGCAGCTCAGATACAGGACTTGGATTTAGCCACACAAACCAGATTCTCTAAGAGATAATTAAACCAGGCAGAACCTAACATTAGATTTAATACTTCTTGCTCCTGGGACAGAAATAGCACTGAGAGAGTTGTAATTGATAATAGCAGGGGGGTCATCCAGCTTCTGGTACAGSTGCTATAGGGAAATGTTAGGCCAAGATCCAGAGGCAGGTCTTACATCTGTGGCTTTCAAAGACAACAGCTCCCACATCCTACTGCTGTGGTGCATCACTCAGATATACACAGTTCCAATGCATGACAGCCAAAATTTTTGGGAAGTTTTTTTCCAGAAGAATGGGAATCAGGAACAAGTAGTCCCTGTCTCTCACAGAAACAGAGACTTATGATGCCTAGWAGCATCCTTCTGCAAGAGGGGTCAGGGCTTCTCTTCCCTCTAATTTCAAAGAGGAAAATGAGTTCAAACAAGGTCAGGATCCTCACTTGCAGAGAAGATGGATTTTATAGAAACAGCTGTCAGCACATTGAGCCTCCAGCGTGAGGAGGCTCAACTACACACGCAGGATTCAAAATGACCTACATGGACTGTGGGCCTTGGTTCCACTTCAGAATTGCTGAGTTTTTGCAGTTACAGCTGGCTACCAAGCAGCTCTGAGCACCTACACGTACTCCACTACTCTCAAGACCAGCAAAAAAAAAAATAACTGAAATTGTTTTTCACATATATTTCCATTTATAAAAAYACAAATGCTACCTATGGATAAGGCTGACAGTATTAAGTTAACAYAGTAACAGGACAAGGGTGAATGGCTTCACACTGTYAGAGGGCAARATTAGATCAGATATTAGGAATAAATCTATCCCTGTGAGGGTGGTGCAGCCCTGCCACAGGTTATCCAGAGCAGCTGTGTTTACTCCATCCCTGAAGTCTTCAAGGCCAGGTTGAACAGGGCTTGGAGCAACCTGGTCTAGTGGAAGGTGTTCCTGCCCTGTTATGGGGACCTACAGTCCATGTCATTTTGAATCCTGCGTGTGTAGTTGAGCCTCCTCACGCTGGAGGCTCAATGTGCTGACAGCTGTTTCTATCAAATCCATCTTCTCTGCAAGTGAGGATCCTGACCTTGTTTGAACTTTAAGGTCCCTTCCAACCCAAACAATTCCGATATTCTTTGATCTTTAAGTGTTTCCACTACTAATGAGAAACCAATCAACATTCTGTATTTGGTTCAAAGGATACCAGCCTAGATTTCATATGAAAGTATACATATATAATTCAAGATTAACTCTCATGTATGACTAGCAGCAAACTCCATCTAAACACCACTGTATTGAGAAGAGAGTCAATCCTTCCATCTCTCAGAATGAAAGGCTATTTCACTCTTCAGAAAAACTTCCTTAAAGCCCTTGATCATTACCCAGAATTTTCCTCCTGAATCCTATAAACAACTGAGACTTGACATCCCCCTTTGGGGACTGAACCTACATAGTGTACATATGACTCAGGAATGAACACCATTCATTTAGCTGCTTTGATCCAAATAAAACCTGGCAAAACRCAGGTCAAACAGGGCACAAGAGCAGAAAGGGCAAAAGTTTCATGAGAGTAACTTCCTCCATCACCCTGATCCAACCCTAGGTTCTGCCTGAACACCAGGAGGGGGCAATTTCTCTGAGCAGCAACAAGTTTGATCTTCTGAAACTGTGAGAAAAGATGTTTGAAATCTTTAGACCAGAGRCCAAATATCTTTAGAAATATGTTTTTGCATTGTAATTTCCACTTCAAAATACCTTTGAAGACACATTAAATTGCTCTGAAGTTCAGTCTGATGTAACCTGCACTCATCTTTCACCAGTTTTGAATTTTAATATTATATRAGTACATAAAACTACTTACGAGCCTGTGTATGCCATTCCAATTAAACAAATTTTTCACACTAAAGCTTGTGGTGATAAAATAACATCCCAATGGAATATTTTAAAGACCATAAAAATAAAAGCTAATTTCTAAGAATTGCAGTTTTACTTTGGGGAGAAAAATAATAATAAAATACTAATCAGAAATACTGCAATAACTGAATCCTGAGGGTAAAATTATTTAAAATAAAATTACACTGAAAATAGATTTATTTTAAAGTCAATGAGTAGCCAAGCCATAATTTTACAACACAAAAACACTAACAAAAAATTCTACTGTATATTCTTTGCCTAAAATTTTTGTTTCCATTCAAAAGTAAAAGCTTGGAAGTAAGTCAAGAGATCAACCAGGTTTTGGAAGGGTTGGGGGGYAGGTTATTTTGATGCTCCTGGTACCTTAAATTTCCTTTTCAGTAGAACAGAAGTCTCCATTTATTACTCTTTTGATAAGACTGCCATCTGGTGACATTAATACTATTGTGCAATCACACTTTGTGTTATTGGTACATTTCTTCTTGTCACATAGCTTGCAGAGTCAGAGAAAACTACATTAAATATCATTCTTTCAAAAATCTAACCATAATTTTTGTAAGAATTTTACCTTTCAATGGCCAGTTCTTTGTTYGAGAGCTGCTGAACTGTGATCACCACTTTCTTCTCAATTCCCTGTTTAAGCTTGAAATACAATTTATCTCTATCCTTTGGCACAGGGCTGAAAGAATAGAAACATCCTTTAGCAGGTATAGAACATGAACTGTTAAATACAGAAGAGATTTTACATTTTCTGAATTTTCAATAAATCCAAAATTCATTAGCTTTTTGATAAAAAATTCCTAAAAGGAGACCACTAGACTGAATTTACTCAAGAAACTTGGTTAGACTCAACCAGACTTCTTACTATCTTTTCCATTTACACAGGCCTACACTGAGCATTCTTAAAAGAAACGATGTRGTGAAAAGAAAGTAGCTTGAAAAAAGGTATCCTGAATTTTAATAATTCTACAGAAAAAATACAGAGAAGAAAATTATATCGAAACAGCAGCTTCCTATATATAGCATGTTGGTTTATGAAAAGAGGTCAAATAAATTTTGTTGCAACACAGAAGCAGTGCATTTGGAAGTAGCTGTGTGCTTTTTCCAAAGAGATTTCTGCTTTCCCCTTTCCGTTCTGATTACCTAAAATTTCCTTTTCCATCGTCTTCTTTGACTTCTAAGGAAACACTGAAAGTGTACACATCACTRTCTGGAGTGGGAAGAACAAAGTCCTTCACATGATCAGATGCTTGTTTGGAAGAACGCTTGAATGCTGTGGAGAAACTATAYAAAATGCGGCTGACCTGCAGAAAAGCAAAGCAGTATTTTGATAAAAAATAAAGGTCTTTTTAATGAGGTATTATGATGTTTTTGAAGGTCATAAAACCACTGTTCTTTGCCTCTTATACTGAATACAAATCATGCATCATGTAACACAAAGCACTCAATGACGTGTTCAATAATCAAGCCATTTCAGCAACAAGATCTCCTATTTCCATTCCTGTCACATTCCCTGCTCCTGTCATGCTCAGTGAGTTGATATAAATTTGATTAGAGATTAGGAATGCAGCTCATTAGAAGAGCTGGATAACGTACCTTTCAGCTTGTATATTTAATAATACAATATACAGCTTGCTCTAGCAAATGTCAAAGCCCAAGGAGWTTTCTTCTTCAACCTCTACTTTTCCACCCTAGAAAGTCCTTTTCTCCCAAACTGCCACATAGTTCTACCTAAAATATCTAGGGGAGAGTACCGTAACATGGTTCTTTGTAATTCGAAAGGTAAACAGGGCAACTTTAGTGTGAAACATACTCAAATGAGGCTTGCAAAAGCCCCAAAAGTGAGGCTTTCCGGATCTTCCCATTACAGTGCACTTTGGACTTTAGCTGAAATACTAAATGCAAATCCACTAGTTGAAATACTAAATGCAAAAACTATAAATTATAATAATATTCATTATGACCAGCTGCACATTCTGCAAAACTCATTATTATGTGCTAACATATTTTTCAAGGCACTATATCCCATTTCCTCATTGGGAATGACTTCAAATATGGCTTATTTCCTTTTCCTCAGTCACTGCACAACACAGAATACTTACAGCCTCTTTAATCTCACAGGAGAAAACATGGATCTGGAACTCTTCTGTTCCACAGCTACTTTCAGTAAATGCAAAGCAGTCACTCTCTGAAGTCCCATTTTGCCCACGCACACAAAACAACACCTTATAGATGGGAAACGAGGCTATCTCCACATTGCTCAACTGATCTATTATTCTGGCAAGAAAAGGAACAAGGAAGATCAAAGGAACAGGTCAGTAAACAGACAGGYCTACCTGAAAGGCTTTTCTGCAATTAGATAATCAAGCATCTAAACTCTAATTACTACTAATTTCAAGTAGATAAGATGGGCAGCAGGAACAGAAATGCTATGCTTTACAAATTTAACACATAAATGTTTCTGGTTGTAACACTGACTTTATTTCCTTTATATGCCGTAATATAGACAAACACAGTACCTCTATATCATACAGTAATAATGACCATTGCTCTGAAAAACATGAAAGAAGAAATGTAGAAACCACAGAAACCATAAAAATGCTATTTCTATACAAAATCAAAGAAAATGCAATGTTATAAAGAAATTTAAATATCTTTTTAAGAAATAGTTACGAAAACTCAACAGAACTGAGCCTTGATTGAAGGTACTATGTCACAAATGAATTCACCTTTCCAGTTCTCTGAAGATTGTTAGGAAGTCCTTTACTCACTGATATCTGAAATTAAAAATCACCAGAACCTGTTGCTTCACTTGCTAAACAACCCTCTGAATGGCCACAGTGAGTGCAAGAATAGGCACAGAAGTGCTTGCATCTTGTGTCTGGGCAACAGCTGCCATTGTAAAAGTACAGAGTGCAATTTCCTAATTCAAATGAAATATTTTCTAATGTCAAATGAAACTTGAATTGGGTTCAAAGAACAAAATGGAAGAAAATAATAAAGATTCTCGAAGGTCCTTCTCTTCCTCCACAAGACGATAGTCAACACAAAAGCACAACATGAGCAAGGAAGGAAATCTAATCATATCCTTCAAATACCTTGACACCAGAGCTTAAAAATAAACACCTTGAATATTGACATGCTCCCCACTTCTGGATGCAAGAACACTACAGGTGCATGTTTAGTGCACTCTTACTAAGAACCCTGGATCCTCACCACTAATTAAAAGACCTTTTTCATGTGGGGAAAGTAAATCTTTTCTAGTATCTAGAAACGGTCAGCATCTGCATCATGAGGCAGATACAGGTCAGAGCTGGCTTCTGCACAGCAATGGCTGGAAGCAGAGACTGGCATCTCAACTCTGCAGCATGTATGGGCGAGTCTAAACTGACACCTGCAGCAAACCTAAGGCCAGAAGGACTCCTGCAACACTCGTACCCTGGAAGTGTTGACAGACTAGAGAGGTCAGGAGAACACAGGTATTATCAGCTCTCACTTTTCCAGTATCTCTTATTATCATATTTAAATAGATACTCAGRTAGCAAGAGTTCCTTTTGCTAAACTGTGTGGCAGCTGGTACCACCAGCCATGCACTGCATTGTAAATTKGAGCACATGTTTTGTCTCTTCAGAGCAGTTTCTCAAAATAAACTGTCTTTAACAAGAACCTCAGGCACAAATCCAGCAATTCTACTTCCCTGTGCAAATAACAAAATCAGAAATCACTTCTAATGTGTCTGCTTAAGCAACAAACATGTGTGTTACCGTACAGAGCCTTCTGGAATGTTTGGAACGTAGAGCGTCACAGCTAAAGGGGCTTGACTTGAGGATTTCATGTTTGCCATGGCATGTAGAGCTTCTGGTTCATTCCGTGGGGCTGACACCTTTGTGCAACCTAAGTAAGTCAGTTTGTTAAACAACACGCTGTCCTCTTCCAGGGGTTCACTGGGAGAAGATTGTCTTGGTGCAGAGATTTCTGAAAATAAAAAAACCACATCTTTAGCCATTTGATTTTATTTTACACACCCTTTTTTCCAAGGAGTTCCACAGCAAAATCTCCTACATTTTCCAGAAAAGGACATGAGAGTAGAGAGTTCAGCTCCAGGAACAAGAAATCCATTTAGCAGCTTAATATTACTGTGAAGTCTGTTCTAATCTAATTCATGTTTCCAAGTGTGGCATGGAGACAAACTGCCTTTTGATTCTCTTTAGCATCACTGGAATACAGCACAAATATTCTAAATCTTTCTAAGCAGTCACAAAATCATAGAACATTAAGAGGTTGGAATGGACCTTGAAGACCACCTACCTAGTCCCAACACCCCTGTGTGCCCTGTTATTTCTATTTCTTATTACTAAAGCYAACAGTGCCATAACACTTAGAATCATGAAGGCTGCAAAACTGATCATTCCTGTTGGAGATGGAGCGGGGCAAGAGAAACATATCTACAGTTTCTCTTTTCATTCATGCTAAGGATTGTGTTCTGTTTGAAGAATGTCAATCAGGAAGTCAGCAAGGTAAGTTTCTCAGAAATACAGCATACATGCAATTAAGATATAGGTATTTCCATTTCACATAAACTGTCTATCTTGTTCTACAACAAGAACATGYTCCTTTTATTTCCAATCGATGTGTCGTGTTAGGAATTAGCTAACAGAATACCACAGAAGCGCTCTGCATGCTATTGAGGAAAAAAGAATTGTAGTTCAAGGCACACAGAGATGACCACAGCCTTGTATTCCTGATATATGTAAAGAAATACATGTATTTTTATATATATATATAAAAGCTAAAATATATTTTACATAAAATATATGCAATATAGTTTACATTAGAAGATTTCAGTCCTCCACTTCTCATGAAAACTTCAAACACCAGGAAAGTACCATAGTCATTTCTAACAAATATCAAACCCAAGGCTAGCCTTACTGCTAGCTGGTGACAGAATCAGAGATGGACAGTTTAATCAATTTGGTCAGGGTGTATTTCATTTGCAGGTAGCACCATCAACAAACACTGCCCTGAAAGATCTTGAGCTCCAGCAGCAGGAGATCCACCTCAACTATCAGATCCACCCAGCAATTCACACAATCCTTAGTCCCAACTCATCCTGGGCTGAAGACMAAATGAACATTATCATGACCAAAGCAGAGCAGGTCAGGGTATCAATCTGATCATAATCTATTCCTATCTGTAGTCTTCAATTGATAATAAGAGGAGGTACCAGGGTATTCTCTAACATAGAGTTTAGAATGAAGGTCTGGAAAGATTTATATTCATTTTAAGGTTAACTTGAAACTGCATAAAGAAAAAAACTACCRTGTGTGATTAAGAGGGAAAGCACTCAGGCAATACCTGTAGTAGAWGGGTCTAAAACAAGCTGCAAAGATGGTTGGTTTGTTTGTCCTGCTGACCCTTCCACATCTGCCTTGCCACTGCCATGACTAAAACCTTCTTGGAGTGCAGTGACATTCTGGTCTTTCTCAGAATCCCGCAGTATCTCTTCCATTGCCTTTTCCAACTCCTCATCTCCATTTGAAAATACCTGTAAGCAGAAGGARATTATATTTTTTGAAGGGACTTGTAGTTTCACTTTCACTATTATTTTTTAAACATATAGTCTTACTCATTGCAAAAGTCAAGAAACTTTGCTGAATGAGACAACACACCAAGAATCAACAAAATTGAATCAAATATAATCCAGTGTCACATCCCCTTACTTAAAATGCTGATCCATAAACCATCCATCAAAAAACTACAGGCTTATCTTAGAATAGTAAGTTTGTGTATTTAGAGTCACCATTCAGACTAAAGATCAACAGACTTTGCTATAGATTAGTCTTAACGAATTTTTTTTCTTAGTCATATCCAGTCCATTTCAGATGCTTCACCAATTTCCCCATACATAAGTGGGGCGCAAGCCTAAGGAAATGAAAAAAAAAGTCTAAGTTACACACTCCCTAGAAAGAAAAACCATCTTTCCCAAGTACCAGCTTTTCAGACAACAGAACACCAAAGCTGCATCACAGATTCTACCTCCAATTCACCAGCCCATTTCCAGACTAGAGAAGCAGATAATGTCTAATACAGGGAGAAATTATCAGCTGTAAATAACTGGCWAAGAGTACTGTAAAGACAAACTAGGTACTTACTGTCATTTCAGRGGGAACAAATTCCTATTGTTGCAAGCAGACCAAAACCAGTACATCAGCTACTACAGCTCAGGTGGAGAAATTTGTATTTAACCAATCAGCTGTCATCCAAGTGCTAAAATATTCTGCTATTTAGAGGTAGAAAGCTTTTAGAAAAGGTCTTACTCATGCCTAAAGYAGCACTAACCAGGAAAATTAAATAGAAACTCAAGCCCAAAACCCTCTGCAATCCATTCCTACAAGTCCAATTACAGGCTTTTAAGAWAGCAACAGAGTATCTGACCCCTCAATGAAGAATATTAAGCTTTAAACCAAAGCTCATTSTTTGTGAAGTCCTTTACTTATTAAYAGATCCACAAAATGTAACAAAACTAACCCCCAAAGAAGYTATTAAAACAAAACCTGGACTGMCACTTTTGAACAGTTTTRTTTAATCTGAGCYGTTAATTTCATTGGCAAKAAGCAAGGACAAAAATTACAGTCTAAGACTCTCCTCRTAAGTATGCACTCTYCATCAATACAAAYCTTGCTACATATTTAAAAATAGAAGTCATGGCAAACCTTTCGCTGTGGTTTTTCATCTTTTCCAGAGGTGTCCTCAGATTTCTGATGAACTAAAACAAATTCTTCATTAATTAATGTAGATACAGTWTCAGGAATCCTCCTGGCTCTGCTAAATGATGTTTTGACTTCCATCACAGGTCAGTATTCTCCTCCTGCCACCAGAACCTAATAAAGAAAAAAAAAAGTAAATCGTTTGCTTTGAAGCTGTAGGCAATATGTTGATAGGTATAATATTAAGTTATTGTGGAATAATATAATACTTAAAATTATACTATATGATACTGTATTTCTCAAACTTTGATTTTATTTGTATTAGGAATCTTATGATTTTCAGGTTGGTGCTTAAAAATCCTATGATTTAACTGCAATGGCTGTTACCTRTGCTTATGGATAACAAAGAGATTCACCCCAGAGCTTTGTCTTCCCGTTTTTAATCTTCTGGAATCTTCTTCCTCTACCTGCCTAATTTGTGCCCCTGGTTCTTCCTCATTCAGGTATTTTCCTTACCCCGAGTGTCACAAAGATCATGTGAAAATACACAAGATTACCCAAAGACTAATTTTCCAGAAACTGTATCCCAAAGTGCAACAGTTTACACCTGTAGTGTATACCAGTTTACCATTTGTAAAGGCAAAGACAACTGGGATAACTCAACTACAGAAGTGTACTGACACACTAAGTACTTGCTCTTGCCCCAAGTGGATAAAGGCAGTTAAAGAGAATTTCTATTTCCTAAATATGAACCTGAAATTAAAGGAAATATTATGAATATTACATGAATGCAAGGAGYTCCTTATTCAGATCAGATACTTCAAAGCATATCATATACATTCTTGCAATTACTTCAGAGTTACAAGACCTTTAAGAGTATACTCCAAGCTTGCCCTTAAACCAGCTTAAACCACCAAAGCCAGTGCAGACACATACCTTTTGCTATACATGACTATATTAAATRAATAAATTAGCACCCCAGAACCCCTAATTCCAGTCCTTCATTACAGACTATTCCAACCTACTGTCAGTGTTACCYTCCCCCACTGCAGTAAAAGCAAGGCCATTTTAGTTTCAGTTTAGCAGTAGAACACAAACACAAGCAGATTAGGCATTTGGGAAAAGCTTTATACACTGTATTTTAGCATCAGTCTTTAACCAAAAATAAGTTTTAAYGCCAGAGACAAACTAAGCACCAAAAATCATTAATAAGACATTTTTTCAAACTAAACAACTTCAACTCTAAGCTTTACTCAAGAGTAAAACTGTGATTATTATGAAGATTATTGAGATTTACACCATCTTAAGTAGTAAGCTACTTAAAGAGAAGATTTTTCCACTTTTTTCATTATAAAGACAGATGATCTAATAATTCAGCTAAGTACTTCTGAAGAAAGCAGTAATAAGAATAAAAATGTCTCTAAAAAAATCATGCATTAAGGTTATTTGAGGAAGGGAAAAACATCTGAAGAAGCTTTTTTATTCTTTAGTAACAGGAAGAGGCACACATGCATTCTGAATTTTTCAGTCACCTGCAGTCAGCAGATGGTTACTGTCATTTCCTCTGTGTCACTGGCTCAGTCCTCTTTTTTACTCATTACTGAATTAAGCACTTCAAATCCCCTTTTCCTACAACTGTAAAGAAAATATGACAGTTGACCTACTAGACACGAACAAAATCAAAGAACAGACCCCTACTACTAAACTCAAGCATCTCTTTTTTTTAATCRTCCTTTTTGATGAAAAGTTTAAAGTTAAGGACATAAGAATTTATTGCTGATTGCATTAGTCAGAATACACAGACAGCTGTGCAGTCTCCAATCACATCCGGCTGACTCCCTGATGTCTTCAAGAGCTGAGTGCTGGCTCAGAATCCTAAGGAATTAGGTTTAGCATTTGCTTTACCAGTTTAAAGTTTCTGGGAGGGCAGCAACCAGCAGTGAGGAGCTGATAGGGACAAGAAAAGACAGCAAACATAATGCACTTCACTACCCCAGCTCCAAGTTAAGTTCCTTAGTTTAAGCTGCTAATGGAGTTCAGTTCCAAATGAAAAATACACTCTCTGTTCTGCCAATGCTGATCCAAAGACTGAAACCTCAGATGAGAYGGTACYTTCCCAAACCATCAGAGTTAAGAGTCAGAGCTGCTCCTCTAACAATGCCTTCCAAAAGATGACAACAAATTCTGTTATTGAAGCTTTCTTCACAGTAGGAAACACTGGGAAGGGGGTACTACTGCTGCGAGGAAGTCATTGCTACAAAAGAGGTACCTTGAACAGTCATGCTTGTTCTTATAGACAAGATATTTTTTCTCCATACTTTGCTGAACAATATGGCCTCCACATTGCACATACACAAGAAGTCAGGAACCAATATACAGGAGGACATTTCTTTAAACTCAGTGAAATAAAGCCTACTATGATAAAAGAATTAAAATTTTTAAAAAKAAGAGTTTCAGAAAAGGTTTTCTGACAAACAGATTTTCAGACCAAAAAACTYTTCAGATACAAAGAAATTATTCAGACATAGTTTTAAGAGAGAGTGTGTGTGAAGGTGTGGTATGGTGTGCCGATCTTGCTCCAAAATATATCTCAAGCCACATGAACAATCCAAGGACTGCAGAAAAACTGTTGTTTTTCTCTGTGAGCTTTATCATGTAGTTTTGGTCAAGCCAATCTCTCTGATGTACRTCAGTTCCCAGCATTTTGCTTATACAAAGTCCTGGGTAAAAATAACTAAGCCAACTACTTAGACTATATGTGTTTTGGTGATCAACACCTTCACATATGTAAAGGACTAAGTTGTGGAAGGCTCAAACCCAGCAGCTCCCCCATTTCATTCCAGAAAGGCATCCCAAGTTCACTACAGCTCCCTCTGTTAAGTAGCGTAAGTGACCGAAGAGCAAGAGAAGGTGAAGAACAATGAACTGAGAAAATCCAGGGGGATTCAGCACTGAATCAGAGTAAGGGACACAGGATAAAACTGCTTCTGATTCCTTCCCTACATAACCCTTCCATGTATTTCACATCGAATCCAGAATTGCAAAAACACATCACACACAGAACACAAATGCCTAGGTAGGGATGTATGTCCATGGGATTGATGAGCAGAGCAACATAGGACAAGGCACTCCTGGGCTATACACACTCATCATCACAGGAGAAAGAATCAAAGCCACTGGCTTTCCAGAAGGAAACTGCCTTGCAGACCTGATAGATTCAAAAACTTCCTCYGCAAACTCATCCCCAAATTTTACATTAATCAGTCTGCTGAAACAGTTACCAGACTTTTTTGTGTTTACTTCCAGTTTGTGCTCAACAGATTTCTCCAAGTTACTGCTCTAGGTAATTGCTGGTTTGTAGAAAGAAAAAAAAACCTTTTGCTTCAAATTATAAGCACCAAAAAAATTAGAAAATGTGGAGCTATGAAAAGACAGCAATTAAGGAAATTAAATGTTGACCTATTTTCTGTAAGCAACAAGAAACATGTTTTGAAAGGAAGTTTCTTACCTACTTGAAAGAAGACAATCAAGAGCAGGCTAAATCATACTTTTTTTAGCCGAGAAACAAAGTCATCCTGTATTACAGATAGGCTTGTATTAAAGGCAGTCTTCAAGGCCATACAGGCTGCCTGACAATCCCAAACTGCAAAAAAAAAAAAAAAAAAATACTGGGAAATAAGTTATACCTATTTTCAGAACTATGTTTCCTCAAGAGAATTTCTGGGACCTTTGTGAAGAGGAAGGTCCAATAGAGCTATGCAGAAACTCGTCTTTTGGTGAAAGAAGTCTGAAGTAGAAATATACACCAAAATACATGGTTCATTCCCATTTTTGAGCTACAGATACAGTACATACAGCAAAATGAGTATTTAACTAACTGGACTTGCAATCACTCCATGACTCAGRTTTCTAGATTACTGAAGTTGTGTGGTGACATTCACTCTAACTCACCCCTCAGGGAACAACACATTGACAGTTCCGCCCACACCAACACATATAACCAAGGGTCTCAGCCACAGAATCTTCTCCCAAGAAATGTATCAAAACTACACCTCACCTTGGCTCCCAGCCCATGACATCACTAGTTTTAGTAGGGGACACCTTCCCCAGAAAGCCAGATGTGCTGCAAACACACAAAGCTTCGCCTTTTCAAAGCATCTTCACTGAAAATCTTAACAACCTGATAAAATGCAAGATTATACTCTATGGTGAGGCAGTACAACTCACCATCTGCCCCAAAACCATCTTCTCTATTGACTGAGTGGACACATATACAGAAGAAAATTCTAGGTGTCATAAAATCAGTTTGTTTAAATCTCACTGACCAAAACAGSACTATAATTTTAATTTCAACTTTAATCTCAACTTCTCTCTGTGTAATCTTTTTATGAGAAACTGTCTCTGTGCTCATACTAACAACTGTTTTATTACCCATAAACTGTTCCCCAGTGTCTTATCATTGGCAGTGAAACACTA